TAGAGTTCACTTTTGTGTTTCATGGCGTGAGAAAAATGAGGGCTCCATAAATATCACTTTATGTAAAAAAAAATTACCTTTATTTTAAGTGTATGTTATGAATATAATCCAATGTTTGAATTGCATTTAGTCATACGAGAGGAAATCAAATCACATCTAGTCTTGTCTTCAACTATGATCCTCACAATAATATGTGTAGGGATCAAATTTATTACATACTAGTGGAAACATTCGTTAATATTTGTATTAAGTTAGACTGTCTACATCACACCTTTGAGGTGTGGTCTTTTTTGAACCTTGTTAACGTAAGATATTTTGTGCATCGAACTGTTCTTTTGATGGATCAATTACTTCAGAATATTTCTTTCAATTGAATACTCGATCTTGATCTCTACGTGTCTAGCCATCGATTGGTCCATGAAGCGGCTCTTGACCGAATTCAAAATGAGACTAACTATTATTGTTGTTTCTAATCTATAAATATAATATCACTCATTTTTTTCTCAGTCTATCTTCTATACACTTTATATTTATAATCATCTTTATTTTTTATTTTCTATCCGATGTTCAGAACCTGCATTAGAGTCACGATTGAATTTAAATTGTACATTGCAAAGTCCATTTGGAGATGACGGCTTCCAACAAGATTTTCTCTATATCCAGGATTCAAACCCGAGACCTCTTATTAAGGGTAGAACAGTCCCAACAATGCACCACAACTTGTGATATACTTATATTCATCATTTTACTATTTAACTTCAATTACATTAGTTATAATTAGATGTCCCATTCTCGATCCTTTTGGTAGATTTTAGCATCTAAACCTTAATTAGGGGTTATTATTCTCTAAACAGATATAATTAGATTTTCAATTGGTTTTGAATAGGTTGAATAAATATCTCTGCTGGATATAAATTATTGTAACTGCAATGAGAAAATTGTCAGCTTCTCATTTGTATTTTATGCCCTCTTTTGACTTTGACCTATTCATCATCAATCACTTTACAATAGTAAATATAGATATTTTATCGATGGAATAATTTATTGACAGATAAATATTTTCAAAGTCACGCGCTTTATTTTTTTATTTTATTTTACACCCCTCTGTTCCTAATTACTTGTCTACTTTTTTATTTATAGTTGTCCCTAATTACTTGTCCATTTTTACAAATCAAGAAAGAACATCTTTTTTTATCTATTATATCCTCAATTAAATGACTAATTACTTTGAAAAATGCAGAACTTTTCATCCACTTCATAATTAATATGGATAAAATGGTAAACTCACTATGTCATTAATTGATTTCTTAATAGATGTGTCAATTCAAAAGTGGACAAGTAATTAAAGACAGAGGGAGTATATGTTATGAATGGGCCTAGATCACTATTGGCGAAGAAGCCTAATATCAGATTAAGTGGCTATGTGTGGGATCCGAGTTGATAAATAGAGTCTTTTGAGAGCAAAATAGGTTTTATGTGAATTATGATTATGCTTAGGCAAGGACTGTGCTTCTCAACCCCAGTTCTCTCTTATTTCCCTCATCCCTTCTTCTTTATAGTTACTATTATTGTTCACTTTCTTCATATTGTAATTGCTCATTTCGTATGAATCAAAACTTATTAGTTTGTTCTCTCTGTTGTTTGTTATTGAATTGAGAAAATCACTATAACCATTTTAGTGTTTGTTACAATATATTTAATTAAATATTATCACATAAATTCAAACGAAATGAATACTTCCCATAAACGAATGCTATTTATAAGGATTTTTTTCAGAATAATTATATAGTGGCAGACTAATTTTTATTAAAGAAAGTGAAAAGATCACAAGAAACAATGAGATCAAATATAGATTCACACTGTTGCCAGTGTTGTCGGGACCATTTTTTTGTGTAACAATTAATTAACACACAAAATCATTGTGACTCCACTAACGAATGTATTCTCTAATTTGGTTCATTTCCCCAATTTTGTTCGTCCTAATAAATGATTTTTTTAAAGAAGTTCGATTGTTAAAAGATAAAAATTAAAGATAACTTATTGAAAAGCAAAACGTGTAATTAAATTATGTACGTTTCCTAGGAAAAGTAATCTTCTTTTGACATAACATATGATGATATTGTGTTGTTAATAACTATGTTAATTTTGATAGGCAAATTAATCTCCTAATGACATAATATATGATGATATTTCTTGAATGTCGCTGCATATCATATTGGACCTAGGGAAATTGGAGCTAATACCTAAAAGATTATGCAATATTTTAAAGATAAAGATGCATGGTTTCTTGATTTTTTTAGATTTCGAAATGGATGAATTACGCATCGTAACAATAAAGAGTGTTTATCTTAGGTAAGAAACTTGCGATTCACTAAATATGCATCGCGCATTGTGGGTCCATTCGAGGTGACGCTTCCAACATGATATTTTTCATATTCAAGGCTCAAATCCGAGACCTCTGATTAAGGGTGAAATAGTCTCACCATTACACCACAACTCATGTTGATACCAAATGTTCATTAATAAGATTAATTATAAATTTTAAAATTCTTTCTTATTTCTGAAATTACATCCTTAATAAATATCTTCACGGAAATGAGAGTGATTTTTTTTTATGTGGACCAAAAAATTATATAAGTACTTCTTTGCACCGGATGATTACACAAAACATAATAAATACTTCCGTTATTTCATATTAACTAGAATTTTTGGGGGCTTTTCATTGTTCAAGACAAGTGAATCGTTTAAGTTCAAAATAAACGTTTGAAATTTTTTCTATTTTGGCTTTCATTTACATTTTTTAGGTAATAAGTTCAACAAAGTTAATTGCTCATATTTATGATTTTACTCGGAATTAATTCTATTTTTAAGAAAAGCTTGACAATAACTAAAACAATAAAAGTGGAAAGTAATATTTAATTTATGTCTAAACTTTTCTTTTTTAGTGCATTGCCTCACAAATTCACATATGAAATAGAAAGAGTATATTACAGTGTCTTCACAAACAATTTATCACAAAATTATTAATTAATTAATATTTTTTTTTATTTAATTATAATTAAATATGGTTCACTGTAAATAAATATTCTTAAAAAGAAAAGGGTAAATTACAGAAATCACATACTTTTAAGGCAAAATTACAATTTATCACTTAAAAATTTATAATTACAGAAATACCCTCAAACGGATACAATAATATAAGCGCTGATACATTAATCTGATGCGCGAGATACATAACATTTTATACATGATACACTAATCTGATGCGCAAAAATGAGGAATTTTGAAAATTTGTAAAACTTATAAGGGATAATGGTAATAAGTAAACTAAAAGGTGAAATTTCGGTAATTTTCCTAAAAGAAATGGGCGAAAATATGGGTATGGCATCCGTTACCCCTGCCAGTCAAAGTAACAGTGGTATAGTGAAGAAAACATTAATTTTCTGGCTTACATTCTTGTCCTCAATTATCCACGCGCATATGCATCGTGGGTGCAATTTTTTCCCCAATAAAAATGCTTTACTCTCTAAAATGAAATTTAATGACGAAAATTTGAATTAATTAGGCGCTAAAGTAGTAAAATTTTGCTTTTTATTGATAGTGCGTAATATATTTCTCAAGTACCTAATGTGTTAATCTCACTTTTAGCTACTTCTTTATCATCTCTTTTTGAACTGAATAATCAAACTACTCCCTCTATCCCTAATTATTTGTCTATGTTTGAATTAACACACCTATTAAGAAAACAATGATTGACATAGTGAATTTATCATTTTATCCCTATTAATTATGAAGTTATTCATGTTCAAGCAAGTTTCAATAATACCATTGTCACTGTTACAGATGTACGGGATCGAGTAGTTTCTTGGTCCTCCGCTGGTACTTTTGGATTTGAAGGTACGAGAAGAGGAATACCGTTTGCTGCTCAAACAAGTGGATGAATTAAAAACTTAATATTTTCAAGAAATTCTATTTTTTTCAAAGTAATTAATTGAGGATAAAATAGGTAAAAAAAAAATTCCTTCTTAATTTATTAAAATAAACAAGTAATTGAGGATAACTGGAAAAAAAAAAAGAACAAGTAATTAGGGATAGAAGAAAGAGAGTATATATATTATAGTAGGTCTTCTATATTTTACCCGTAAAATTACGTTAAATTTGTTATTGCTTTTATATTCACTTTTAGCATTGGATTGATCTCTCTCACCATTTGACCAAATTCAACACTTACTAGCATGTTAGCAATTATTTCATTTCATCATTGTTACTCCCTTCACATCTCTTTAGAGATATTAACGCCACTTCCACTTCAACATATATAATACTCCTTCTCTTTCGATAATAATTATTTATTATTGACTTGACACATACTTTAATAAAATAATGAATAATATAAGTAGTATTGCTATACTATCCTTTAAATATATTAGATATTGAATTATATTTAATAGCAAAATAGACTATCATTTCTTAATTTTTTAAATTAAATAAGTATTGTTTAACAAGTATTTTTAATATAGTGAACGACTAAAGATGAACCGGATGGAGCATAATATAAAGTTGTACTTAATAAAAAAAAATTGAAGTGTGAAAACCTCAGTGTATTAACAACTTTAAATATTTGTTAAGTCATTTGTTCAGTCTCACTCTCAAAAACTCACTCAAATCCCCCTTTCTCTGTTCTCAAACAACCATCTCTGAGTACCCAAACCTCCTCGAGATTGCTGCTCCATCAATGGCCAAGACTCAAACTTCACCTTGACTGTTTGCACAATCCCACACACATTGCATGTGATGCTCAGTCTCATTCTATATATTCTTGAAAAAAAACCCCTTTTTTCTTGCTTGCTTATCTCTGACAAGAACAAGCCAAAACCAAAGCCCCAGTGAGCTAAACAACACAAACAAAACAACAAAAAGAAAAGGGACTCATAAGGCCATAACCCCCATTAGTCAGTCCATTTTCATTTTTTCCCAACATTTTTTTTTTTTTGCCATTGATGGAGGAAAGACCAGAAACAGAGCTTATTTCAATACCAGCAACACCGCGTGCATCAACACCTGAGATTCTAACACCGTCAGGTCAAAGATCACCAAGGGGTGGTGGAGGACATACATCTACTGGTGCATCAAAAGATGCTAAGTCATGGACACCAACTTCATTTATTTCACCTAGGTTTTTGAGCCCTATTGGGACTCCAATGAAAAGGGTGTTGGTTAATATGAAGGGTTATTTGGAAGAAGTTGGGCATTTGACTAAGCTTAACCCTCAAGATGCTTGGCTTCCAATTACTGAATCTAGAAATGGCAATGCTCATTATGCTGCTTTTCATAATCTTAATGCTGGTATTGGGTTTCAAGCTTTGGTCTTGCCTGTTGCTTTCTCTTATCTTGGATGGTAGTGTTACTCTCCCCTTACTCTGTTTCATTTACTTGGTGTTTGTTATTGCTATTCTTGATATTGTTATGGTTAAAGATTGAATCTTTTTTTACATTTTCTTGTGGAATTTGTTGTAGTGTTATCTATATGTAAGTTTTAGTCAAATTTGCTTGCTTTTGACTGTTTTTTTCAAAAAACAAATTTGTTTATTAAGATTCTGCTTTGTTGGTTTGATGAGCTATTGTTGATTGTGTTATGGTTAAAGATTGGATCTTTTTTTACATTTGTTTGTGGAATTTATTGTTAAAGATTGATCTATATGTAATAGTTATATTCAAATTTGATTGAAAAGCTGCCTACTTTTGACTGCTTTTTCAGAAAAAAATTTGGACTTATTCTGGTGTGTCTATAAAGTTTCTGCTTTGTTGGTTTAAAGAACTCTCTTTTCCATCTGCTTGGTGCTTGTTATTGTTATTGTTGATAGTGTAATTGGTTAAAGTTTTGACCTTTCTTACATTTCTTTGTGAAATTTATTGTTTTATGAATCTGTATGTAAGAATTTTATTTGAATTTGCTTGCAAAGCTGCATGCTTTCAGCAAATTTTGGGCTTACTATGGTTTGTTTCTCTTGGTTTGAAAAGCTCTCTCAGCTAATTAGGGATTTGTTCTTCATAAACTTTCTTAAAGCCAACCGTCAGTCTCGAAAGTCTTGATCTTTCAGCTATTTGTGACCTCTAAGTACTGCTTTTTTAAATGCATATCAGTTGTCTTTGAAAATGGGGTCTTTGATTGACTATACTGCACTCATCTAAACGGACCCCTCCATCTATTGATATGTTATTTAAGAAAATTATCGCGCTTTGTGGACCAACAAGAAATCTTCTAAATCTGTCTCTATGGACTTACTTTTCTCAACTTTCATCATTGATTTCAAATGAAATTAGTAAAAAAAAAAAGACAGTTGTACTAATTGTTGGCATTCATACTACTTTGCCTTTTCATTAAAATACATCTCCTGGGTCCTCTCTCATTTTTCGTTATCATATATTGAGAAATAAGACTGCCTATTTCCTTTTGTTCCATCTTCCTTTTGCATTTCCACATCATTTAAGAAAGATGGTCCCATGGTACATCAAAGTATTTAAGTTCTGTACATTTACCTAAAGATATTTTTTACTTTAAATATTAACTACAGATACATGCCTAATTAAATCTTCAAATGATAATGTATAAAAGAAATTAATGTAGTTTTGGGGGCATTTTGTATAACAATAACAACATACCCAGTGGAATCCTACAAATGGAGTTTGGGGAGGATAGTGTGTACGCATATCTTACCCCTACCTTGGGAGGTAGAGAGACTGTTTTTGATAAACCCTCGACATGAAATTGATATTTTTGAAACGCAATGTCATTTATTCCATAAATATATAAGGATTTTCCTCATCTATTTTTGATGGAGATATCTTTCTTTTTAGCCTTCTGTTGTAGCTATCACACACTCCTTTTGTTACATTCTTGGCACTACAATTTAGTCAACAGTTGGTCCAGAAATTGCTTTTGATGATTTTGACCTATCACTTTGACTTTAAGATCCAATATCTTTAAATGCTACTGTAATTTCCTAGTGGACTATTGTGCATTTATTACAGTATGTTCCATCGTCAGTAATAGGAGAAAAATATTTTACTATTGAATTTTCCACCAAATCCGATCACTGTTGTATGTTTAATAGCCAAGTTTCCTTTTTATGATCTGAAGTGTACGTCGTTAATAACTGATCATCCGTTTGATGTTCTTAAGTTTCCATTTTATTAATCTTGTGCCAACATTTACCAGATACTCTTAAATTTTAGTCTTCTGAAAGGAACGTAAAGCGTTTAACTTTCCTTTTGGATGCAGGAGCTGGGGAATAATTTCCTTAACTATAGCTTATTTCTGGCAACTCTATACTTTATGGATCCTTGTTCAGCTGCATGAAGCAGTTCCAGGGAAGAGATACAATAGATATGTGGAACTCGCGCAAGCAGCATTTGGTAAGAAAATCAAGTACTTCTTTCTTTTCTGTTCCCCTTAACCTGCTCAAAAGCCCACTTATCTGATACATAATATCCCCTTTATTTCCATTTATATGACACTCTTTCCATTACACGACGTTGTTGAATGTGTCACACCATTCTTTTATCTGTTTAATTTTACTTTGATGTCATATTTTTTCTATCAAACTAACTTTAACCATTATTTTACTATTGGTTTGTCTTACTTTCCTTTTTGGTCCATTTTAAGAAGAATGTCTCTTTCCTTTTTTGACTATTCTTTAATTCTAACTTCCGACATGACATGTTGAAGATCACAAGATTAAAGAACATTTTTGTACATTCTACGTATCTTTAGTTTAAGAGCACAAGATTCAGAAGTTCCTTAATTATTGGAACATCTTAAACTTTGTGTTCGGTCGACCACCATCATATAAATTTAAATGGAGGGAGTGCTTAATTATTGGTAATGAGTAAGATGCTTGAAAAGCTGATAGAGTTGTATAACTCCTATTTTTCATTGAAGGAAAAGGAAATGAACATAGTTCACTTTGCTTGCTATAACATTATTGCATCCATTTTACATTTTCAGGTGAAAGACTGGGTGTTTGGCTTGCTCTCTTCCCTACTGTTTACCTATCTGCAGGAACCGCAACAGCATTGATTCTCGTAGGAGGAGAAACCATGAAGCTGTTCTTTCAAATTGTTTGTGGTCCGCTCTGTTCCTCGAATCCTTTAACAACTGTGGAGTGGTATCTGGTTTTCACTTCCCTCTGCATTGTTCTGTCCCAGCTCCCGAACCTGAACTCCATCGCTGGACTCTCCCTCGTTGGAGCAGTGACAGCCATAACATACGCCACTATGGCATGGGTCCTTTCTGTAAGCCAACCACGACCACCTTCCATTTCATATGAACCCATTTCTTTGCCTTCCTACTCAGCTTCTCTCTTTTCGGTCTTGAACGCCATGGGTATCATAGCATTTACCTTTAGAGGACACAATTTAGTTCTTGAAATTCAGGTAATTTTTCTTACCCTTTTTTCCGTCATGTGCAAACACAAACTGTTTCTTTGATTAGTCACAAGAAACATTTCAGTTTTGCGATTGTAAAGACATCCACTAATATCTTCTCTGTCATATTTGCAGTCAACAATGCCGTCAACGTTCAAGCACCCAGCCCATGTGCCAATGTGGAAGGGAGCAAAAGTTGCTTATTTCTTCATAGCCTTGTGCCTGTTCCCTATTGCCATTGGAGGCTTCTGGGCTTATGGAAGCCTTGTAAGTATAGCTATCTTTCTGTTATTTCCGCCGACCAAATCATAACTACTGAATTCAGTCACATTATTTTGACAGTATAATATATATTTCATTTTTGCATTTGAAAAAGCTTTTCCAAAGTATTATAATACTCCCTTCGTCCCAATTTAAGTGTCTTACTTTCCTTTTTTGTCTGTCCCAAAAAAGAGTATCTCTTTCTATATTTAGTAAGTTTTTCAATTCCAATATTCCACCTGACAAGTTTAAGCACATAAGATTTAAAGGACTACAAACAGACCATACGTTTCAAAAGTCTCCCTTTATTTCATAAACTTCGTTCCCAGTCAAACTAAGACACTTAAATTGGGACCGAGGGAGTGTTTTGGTAGTACTCTTGCTAATTTACTATCCACTCGAACTTTTTTTCTTGTTGCATTTGTTTCCATCGGCCATGTATCCTTGGTAGAACGGAGTACTCCTCTGCTCGGACTATATATGTTTTCCTCATTATTTCTGATTTACTCGCTTACTTATTAATTCCTTACAGATGCCATCGGGGGGAATGCTAAGTGCACTATACGCCTTCCATATTCACGATATTCCAAGAGGACTTCTCGCCATGACATTTCTCTTAGTCGTGTTCAACTGCTTGAGTAGCTTCCAAATATACTCCATGCCAGCATTTGACAGTTTCGAAGCTGGATACACTAGCCGTACCAACAAACCATGCTCAATTTGGGTCCGTTCTGGTTTCAGAATATTTTTCGGATTTGTTTCATTCTTTATCGGAGTGGCACTTCCGTTCCTGTCAAGTCTTGCAGGATTGTTAGGAGGACTCACACTTCCGGTAACGTTTGCTTATCCTTGCTTCATGTGGGTCCTCATAAAGAAGCCTACAAAGTACAGCTTTAACTGGTATTTCAACTGGATCCTTGGATGGTTAGGAGTTGCTTTTAGCTTGGCCTTTTCAATTGGAGGAATTTGGAGTATGGTCAATAATGGACTTAAACTCCGGTTCTTCAAGCCCAACTAAGAGATAGATCATGAATAAAAAGCGCGCTTTGGTATGTAAACTTGTATTTGCTAGTAGTAGTTTGTAATGTGTGTTTCTATTCTAGGCTTGAGAAAAGGTGAAGTGGAGAAACAACGCGTGCGTGTGTTTTGGTTGGTTCGGGAGGAGGGGAGGAAGAGGAATATGTATAAAAGCCATAGGTACAAACATGTTCTTGTTTTCTACCTTTGGAAATTTGGTGTTGTATGCTTATGAAATCGCTTGAAAGTCACATTTTATAGAAACTAGAATGTTTGCAGGATGATTCAGTTTTCAACTTGTTAATGCACTAGGTCTTTATTTGATAAATGGGAAAAGGGTTTGATATACCCCTCAACTTTGTCATTTAGAATTGATATACTCCTCGTTATGAAAGTGACTCATATATACCTTTACTGTTATACAAATGACTCACATATATCCCTACTGTTATAGATATAAAGCAATTTCATGTTCAAAAGTTGTTCTTGCATTGTTGCATTTGCAGTATTGAAGAAGGATATTGAGATGGAATTAGTCTTTGTAGAGTAGATGATTTTAGTTTCTCATCAATGTTAATTTTGCTTGAACTGAGGGTCTGTCGGAAACAATCTCTCTACCTACACAAGTCGCATGATCAGGTAAGGTCTCCGTATACGCTACCCTTTTCAAATCCTAAGATTACATTGGATATATTGTTGTTGAATCAAATGTTAACTTTGACCTTTACACCTTATGGTAATTATTACTTGAAAACAACTATGACATTGTAGCTGAATTATAGCTCTGCCCCTGCATGGGCGAAGCTCTAGGGTTGAGCTACAAGTTCGCTAGAATTCAATAATTCTAATCAAAATTCTGTATTTGTATTAAGAAATCATGTAATATATAAAAATAATTTTTCTAGCAAGAATCTAAAAAAAAATATTTTCTAGATTTATACTCTTAAGAGTTTGAATCCATCTCTCGATTAGCATTGAGGTTCTGTTCAAGTCTTTCTAAAATAATAACTCATAAACTCCAAATTTTAAATTTGCTTCTCAATTAATTTAGTGGTTTTATTCTCTGTGTGTTGCTGAAGAGTTTTGGTATGAACATTGACAAACTCATGCATGCATACCTCCGTCTGATATTAGGCGGATATTTTCTATTTTACACTGCTATTAAAAAAATCATTAATAGATTGATTAACTTACTATTTTGTCCTTTATTTATATTAGTTAGCCTCTTGAAAAAAAAATTAGATCTTCTAAATTTGTTTAAACTTTCAAAGATCATATTAACCGTAGGATTAAAATGAAAATTTAATTAATTGTATCTTAATTTATTAAGTAATCAAGTAATATAGAACGTACAAATACTTTAGCAAGATGCCTATCTAATATAGGACAACGGAAGTAGTATAGAAACAAATTGGAAACGAACGTACATAATTAGGCTAGCTTGCACAGGAATCAAAATGGGATTGTGATTAAATGAATAAAATTTCTCTATTATTGATTAGAGGTTTTGAATCAGAACTTCTAAAAGTAACTAAGGCCTCATTTGTTTGCACTTAATGGAGGGCTGAATCTGAATGATTCAGATTCATCTCATTAAGTCCATTTGTTTCTTTTTTCAAAAAGCCTCTTAATGGATAAGAAAAGTTCTGAACGGATCAGATCTGCAGAAGAGTCTTAACACCATTCAGACTTATTTAATAAGTTATAAAATAATAATGTATCGCCTCTCTCGGTCTTGGCGTTACTTTTGCTCTCTCAACTATAAACTTTCTTCCTCTCTTTTCTCAATCAAACACCAATTTTTCCTCTTTAATCTGTCACGCCCCAGATTCAAGGCGCAACTGGCTCCTAATGCCAAAACTCAAGCTCGAGCCGACCCTGCTGAACCATTTGCTACTAGCTCATGGCAGCCACAAACAGTCAAGAAAACAAATAAGTATATCTTGGCTTAAAATTAAGCCCTCGGCAGGCAAGACCCCTGTCAACTGATCTATAAAAGAAACAGCTACTCCCAGGAAATCATATAAATAAATAGCCAACTAGCACAGAAGTCCTGATTGGGTCGTCGAGGCCACCATGATATCTATACCAAAACTAAAAGCATGTATTTATCAATACAATACATCAAACAGCTCACAAGCTTCAGCAAACCAACAACATAGGCCAGCATGGCCATAACGTAGCTATATACCCCACACACTAGTCTGCAAGCCTCTAAGAGTAGTAAAGATTGGTGGGACAGGGCCCCAGCCTACCCATGAGAATATATACAACAAAAGGTAACAAACCTCCCAACTCTGGCAGCTCCGGAGGAAAGGGGCTGGACAACCGGATAAAAGTCAATCCTGCTGCTGAGGAGGTCTACTCGGTCGTATGCCAGGACCTGCATGCATGAATGCAGCGCCCCTAAGGCAATGGGGCGTCAGTACAAAATAATGTACAGAGTATGAAAGGCAATAGACTATGATGAGGTATCCTGATATACTGGAATAATCTGATAAATAAATCAAGGATAAGATAACTATACTGACCTGCTCCTAAATCTAAACTTGTCAAAAATAATAAAACAACAACCTAACCAAGCCTCCATAAGCTCGGCAGGTACAAACAATACACAAGACCACCTACTCAGGCCCCCCATAAGCCCCGGAAGGTGCCAATCAACCTGTATACCCCTATCGGTAGTCCCCTAGCCCCGCAGACAGTCACATAGCCCTCTTAGACATCAACATAGCTTATAGACAATTCATAGCCCTCTTAGGAAACAACATGGCCCTGTAGGAAGAACATAGCCTTCTTAGGCGTCAATATAGCCCTATAGGCAACTCATAGCCCTTCTAGGCATCAATATAGCCCCGTAGGCAACATATAGCCCTTTTAGTTATCCATTTAACCCCGTAGGCTGGACATAGCCCTTCTAGGCATAAATCACATTCCTGCAGCTAACCACAATAACCCCAA